CTAAGGGTACACTAGTCATGTAATAACTGAAGACACCATCCAATTGCGTAGACTCAAAGAGAAGAGGTGGGACTCGAACCGGTTACCCTAAATCAAGTGTCATCGAAGTCAGTAGAATGAAACAGAACCAACATAGATACATACAAATATCGAAGATTGATCAGTCGAACAAGAAATAACAAATCCCGTGTGTAGCACTACAGTGGAAGATTCACAACTGGTTTATTCAAAACACTGATTTTATATAGATAAAATAACTTATTTGTATTGTATTACATACTTGTATTTTACTTGTACTTACTCACTGCAGCACTCCCACCACCTTAAGGAAAATCGAAGATAGATATCTCATGGACGTCTTCCAAAAGAATGGATATCCACTGAATTTCATCAGAAGACATATACCCCAAGCCAACCTTCCAAATCAAAGCCTCCCAAGGAAATCATAAAGAAAATCGCCCTACCATATATAAGAGACAGTTCAGAAATCACTGCAAGACCCTTCAAACCTTTAGGAATTGTTGTCGTACACAAACCAACAAAATCACTTCACTCAGCCAGCCCTGTGTCAACCAAAAGACTCGACAACGAAAGAAAATAAAACCAACATCATCTATAAAATAAATTGTAACAACTGTGAAAAACACTACATTGGCCAAAGTGGACGCCCCTTTCGTCTCCGTATCCATGAACATAAGATAGCCGTCAAAAAACATGACATCTACTCCTCCACTCATATTGTAACAACAGAAGATAAGGGCCAGGCAACAGAACGTTTATTACGGAAAATCAACACATATTTATAGATTTTGATGTACATTATTGTAGGTTAATGTTAGTAGAAAATACAGTCTGTTGATTGGTTGTTTCTCACACAAAGTTAACCTTGCATTTATTGTGGCTGTGTCAGTTCATCTATATGTTAACTGAATCCACCTGTCCATCTTGACCTTGACCTCAATTACTGTCAACCAATTGGCTAGTAGACAGCTCTCACCACAATATCATTGCATACAGAAAACCACGGACATCAACTTCACTGGGACAACCAGTGTTCAAATATTACACAGAGGAAACACCAAGAATGCTAGAGAATATTTAGAAGCCCGCCTGGTATTCCAGTGAATCGCCAGTCAACAGATACATCGAGATAGACAAAATTTACCAATTGATCAGAAGGAAGTCTCACACACAAAGGGTCAAAGTCCAAGTCAAAGAAACAATCAGTTCCAATACCAGTAACCTAGAAGGTGTGAAAACACACAAAAACAACCAATCTCGTTCAAGGTGCCCAGGAGAGATGACTTATGAACTGGTGGAGAAATCTAAAAGCACACTTCAACAAATTGAAGTACGCGCACTGAATATGTTGCCTAGTAGGGGGCAATGAAAGCTTCGCAAATAAACCAGCCAGCCAACTCAGAGAACACAACTACATCAAAAAAAACTTACTTGTATCGTCCACCTCTTCTGTTGTATTTGTATCTCCTAAATGTTCATTATGAATTCCATTTGTCTCTTGATTTTGAACAGGTTTCATTTGTTTATAAAGTTGTTGTAAACGTAGACGTAAGCGTTTCCGATCATCTACAAGACGTTGTAGCAGTAATTCACGAGCTCTAGCACGTTTTGCTGCAGCAGCACGTCTATGCGTGAATAGTGTTACATATTCTTCAACTGTTGTCGCTTCCATCTCCAACTGAGCATTTACACTTTCTAATCGACTGCGTTCCTCTGAAACCGTGCTGAGTTCTTCCATGCATTTGATAAATTTAGCTTCTAATTGTGTATGAGCAACCTAAAAATAAAAAAATTAAGTACAACATTAGTTTACTGCTATTTTGTGATGATTGATTTTTCAATATATTGACAGATGAGCAATTCTGTGCTTCATATAAAGTGGTTATTGTGATTTTGCTTTTTAATGTCGATTGACACAATTAAGCCTATTAGATGGTTGGAGAGCAATCGGTAGGAGGTCTGAGACTCAAGTTTTGAGCTTTTTGCAACTCATCAGTCATCAAAACGTATCTGCAACCTTGAGGGAATTCACGTCCCTTCTGAAATTCGGAAATGTGTGTCGCTCAGTTCCGTAGTCAAAGAGGCTCACAACTGACCTCATATGTAGGACTTATTATTATTATATTATTATTTCCTTTAGTTCCTAGAGGAACATAGGGCTTCAGCCATGCGTCTCCATTGCGTTCGGTTCTCTGCCAGAGTTTTCACCTGGCTCCAGGTCTGCCCACATGCTTTCATCTCCTCTTCACATGATCTCCTCCAGGTCACCCTTGGACGACCAACTCGTCGCTTCCCTTTCGGGTTCCACTCGAGCAATGGCTTGTCTAGTGATGTCACTTGCTGGTTTCCTCTGAATGTGGCCAATCCATCTCCATTTCTTCCTGCCTATTTGTTTCACAATCGGTTCCTGGTTGGTTCACTCCCAGAGATCTTTGTTGCTGATCCTTTCCGGCCATCTGATCTTGAGTATTGAGCGAAGACATCTGTTAATGAAGGTCTGTAGCTTGATTGAGGTGCTTTTTGTGACACGCCAAGTCTCTGATCCGTATAGTAGTACTGACTTCACATTGGAGTTGAAAATCCCGATTTTATTCTCATTTTCATGCTGAGTGCTGTTGACCTCCACACAGACTTGAGAGTAGTGAAAGCTTGCCTTGCTTTCCCGATCCTTGCTTTGATATCCTCGTCAGTTCCGCCTGTAGTTGAAACAATGCTTCCCAAGTAGGTAAAGGAGGTAGTTTCTTTCAGGTTCTTTCCATTTATGCTAATTGCTGTCTGTTGTTGTTGTTGGTGGTGTTGGCCAGGGATCTTCATCACCTCCGTTTTCTCTATGTTCACCTGAAGTCCCTCCTATCTTTGATGTTTCTTCTGCCAACTTGTTGCTTTTCGCTTGCATATCTTCCAGTTTGTGAGAAATCAGGCATATATCATCGGCGAAGTCCAGATCCTCCAAGTTCTTTGTGTGAGTCCATTTTATGCCTGTTTCCTCATTGCCCGCTGTCTGTCGCATTATCCAGTCTACTGCAATCAGGAAAATCATTGGCAATAATAGGCAACCCTGTCTTACTCCTGTCTTCACTTCGAAGGATTCCGTGAGCTTCCCGTTGTGGATTACTTGGCATGCAGCGTTGTCATACAACTGTTGGATGAGATGTATAATTGTCGGTGGCACCCCGTAGTAGCGAAGTAGGACTGTATTGGATATTTTTTAATTGGAAATTGGTGAAAGTGTCTAGTCCTTTGAATAGTGCACATTGAATTCTTTTTTCCATCTTACAACTTTTCATACAGTTGTGAAGTGCAATCACACAGCAAGAACTAGAATATAACAGTAACAGGTGAATGTTTACTCTCTGAGTTGTATAGAAGGTCGATGTCACAAGCTACTACTACTGAACAGGCCTTTACGCATCCTACACTAAACCTACTTGAGTGAACACCACATTTCTAAGCGAGTGATCATTTAACCCGTGTTGCATATATACTAATCACTTCAACTGATGTAAATTTAAAACTGTATCGATTTCTACTTATCAACTATACGTATCACGTTACGTCTAATCTCCATGTAATAAAATAACACCCATTTCGTTTATTGAGAAAATCAAGAGATATTTATAGATTTTCATGTACATTATTATTGGCGTTATTAGTTAGCAGAGAAGCAACATCTTCTGATTGGTTGTTTTCCTGCTGAAGGTTATTCTGTCATCTCTTTGTTGCCATTTTGTAGACAGTCCGATGATATATCGGTGAATCGTATCCGCCCACGCTAAGTCTGCTGTGATTAATTGTTGAGTTCCTCAAGGTTAGGCCTTGTTCTTGTATTTTCTCATAATCCCGATTTGGGACGTAAACATAGACTTAAATTGTTGTCTACAATTTTGTCTTGCAGAGAGTTCTCACCACAGGCTAACATTGCCCATCCGGTCGAAGAAGGCGATGGCTAGTCGTGCATGCATAACGACGCATGTCCTAACCATATCAATCGGTGTAACTACCCAACCTCGTCGATTGACTTTCCCTTCTTGCATAGAACTCAACGCCTAACCTCAGTATCACTCATACTATTATACCAACTAACACGGGAGACAGAATGCAGACAGGTACTTTTCTCGTATCTTCCACTTCCCATGACGATGTTTCACAGCCATAGAGAAGGACGTAGCAAACTCCTGAGCCAGGTGGTCTACGAGCTCGTTTTGTAGCATGTACATCTCGGACTTGATTCCTGGTGGAATCACTGATGCGTACAAATGAAGAGTCTCAAACAAGGACAAAACAACCATCCAGTACTCCTTAGTTTCCAATAGTTCCCCAACTGACATCAATTCACGATCAATCTTGAAATCAATTAAATCCCTGCAAGGCGACACTTGAAGAACAAAGTGATCATACGCACAAACACATATTGTTCATTGAGACATTGCTAAAAGAGTTTGTTGACAAGCATAGGACCAACACGAACTTTGCAATAACTGAGACTAAAGAGAGAAATGAACCAATCAATAAAACTTTTAAAAAAACACAACCCACTAAGCGATCATTACCATCACTTATTATTTCTACTAAATGGCGCCTAACGATGATAAAACTGTGTGTTACACAAACACTCATTAAAACTTAACTGACAGAAACACATAAAAACTAAATTCCTTGAGACAACCTTTATAGAGTAAAGAAATACCAATAAATCTCAACTCAGTTTTGCTATACGGATCAGAAACTTGGCGGGTCACAAAGAATATTTTCAACAGGTTGCAGACCTTTATCAACAACTGTATTCGTTCTATACTGAAGATTAGATGACCGGAAAGAATCACAAACAAGAAGCTATGGGAAAAAACAAAACAGGAACCAATCGCCCAACACATATGCAGGTGAAAGTGGAGATGGATTGGACACTCGCTGAGCTGAGGAGGCCGTTGGGTGACATCGCGCGTCAGACCATAGCTCGAGTGGAACCCGAAAGGGAAGTGGTGAGTGGGACATCCAATGGTGACATGCAGGATATTGTGTGAAGAGGAGTTGAAACAGTATGGACTAACATGGATGCAGGTGAAAAGTACAGCAGAAGACAGAAGCAAGTGGAGGCGTGCAGTTGAAGCCCTATGTTCCACTAGGAACCCAAGGGAACAATAATAATAATAAATCTCAACAAAGAAAACAAAAAAGAGTATGAAAATCTCACTTACTTGAAGTATTTCTAAGTCCTCTAATGCTTTCTGTTCCACAGATATTGAGCATTGTACACAAGTGTCATTTACACTTAAAGATGATTTATACATCAGCCGTTTAACAGACTCTTCTAAAGCGTTAATACAATAGGCAGGATCGCTGAATTGACTGCTCAATTCTTTGTCTTGTTCATTTTCTGCTTGTAATTCATAACACAGTTTGGTAACACGTGTAAATAAATTTTGTAACATTGTAACTTCATTTGTAAGTTGGTTGATATGTATCTATGGTAACAGAAGAGAGTTTCAGTTGTACAATATTAAATATAAAATTAACAAAACATAATGACAATATACATTCAGATTCGTAATTGCATCGCTAAGCTATCAAATTCCTTTATCTATAATGATAATCCATTAAATTTACTCCACTTAATGTTGTTTTAATCAATCAATCACGCTCTTAAATTGCAACGTTATTTTTCGCGCGCATTTTAAATACCCCTCCACCTACTACTACAGTTATGCATTTTTTGAAGGAAATGAGGGATAGATATAATGAAGTAACATAAGGGCTATATATCCAACATATATTGCATGTCAAATCACTTTTGCTTTTTTTCAACGCTCCAGCACAATAAGTGAATATTTTCGTAGTAAAACACATTCGGAGGGGTCTGTTTGACTTCCAACCAAATTACATAATAGATAAATGGTAAAAGTACCTAGTAATAACAATAGTAGTGACTTTATTCTAATTAGCATTTATACAACGTGCAGAATTCACCGGGGAATTTATTGCATAAACAGTTCTCCTTTGTACAAGATCTTCACACGGCCGATAGCTGCTACCTTGCACATAGCAATGACCCACCAACAAAATACACTGGCTGGAACTATTGGCCCTGCAGGTCCTACCATGCCAGGAAGGCTGTTAGAATAGCGATTAGACTAAAAGCAGTTACCGGCATTATGTAAGAATTTTTTTACACTACGAAGGGGATTTCCAACAGGTCACTGCAGACTTTCATCGACGGCAGCCCACTTCGCTGGCTCCATACTGAAGAACAAATGTCCAGCCAGAAAGAATTAGCAACAAGAAACTATGGGAACAAACCAACAGCTGAGAGTCAATCGCTCAACAAAAGTGTAGGAGAAAGTGGAGGTGGATCGGACATACATTGAGGAGGCCGCCGAATGACATCGCACGCCAGGCCAACGCTCGAGCGGAATCCAAGTGAGAGGCGATGAGTGGGCAGTCCTAGGGTGACATAGAGGAGATCGTGTGAAGAAGAGATGGGGTAGTTTGGTCAAACGTGAACTCAGCTGAAGAGGACGACAGAAAACAGAACAAAGTGGATATGTGCAATTAACAGTGTTCTCTGAGCTGGTTGGTTTGGTTGCGGAGCTTTTGTCGTACCCCTGCTGGACAACATCTTCAGCGCTATATTTAGCAAAAAGTGAAATGATTAAAATTTCTTCATGAGTGATATAATTGCGTCTCCTGATAACTATCTTTACATATGTATTGACTATTTTCTATTGACTTGGATTTTAAACTTTCTGGTCACCTGATTTACCTTTTATTAGTTGGTATATTTCGTCTATATTAACGTGCTTGTTAACTGCATTTTCGTTTGTGTACCAGGCTTCTAGGAATTCTCTGGCACTTTTCGTGTTTCCTCTGTCTACGATTTCGACATTATCCCAATCAAATTGATGACCATAATTGTCTATATGCATTGATACTAAAGAATACATATCGTGACTTTCCACGGCTGATTTGTGTTCTTGGATTCTGATTCGAAGGGGACGCCCACTTTGACCGATATAATGCTTGTTGCAGTTCATACAATTTATTTTGTAAATGGTATTAATTTTATCTCCTTTTTCTGTTGGATCTTTTGGTTTGCATAATATCGAATTATTTCAATGTGGAGATGTGTTTTTGAAGCCCTATGTTCCACTCGGAACGCAAGGCAATAACAAATAAATATAACCACTATGGTTACCATTTATGTTTTATTAGCCAATCGCACCATAAACTGAGTAATCCGCAAATTCCGAATTTGATTCTACAGAAAAGGCTGTGTCTTGAGCGTCTTCTTTTTCGTTTACACATGTGGCAGCATTGTTGACGCTGTTGTGATTATAATCCGATTACAGTTTCTTTTTGTTAGTACGTTAGGTCTTTATCCTTCACAGTCTCTACTAGAGGTTCTAGTGGCGGTCATATCATAAATAAATCTATTTATTATTACTTGATTAAATCATCAATTAAGCTGTCCACAATAGCTGTTTTCGCTCAATACTACTTGAGATCAGATGGCCAGAAAAGACCAGCAACACGGATCTCTGGCAATGAGCGAACCAAACAAGAACCGATTGTGCAAGAAATATGCAAGAGGAAATGTAGGTGGATTGGCTAGGCCATACTCTGAGAAAACAAACAATCAAGTGAGTGACATCACACTCCAGGCCATCACTCTCGAGTGGAACCTGAATGGGAAGCGGTGAGTTGGTCGTCAGTGCAAGAGTGACATCAAGGAGGTGATGTGAAGAGGAGATGAAAGCATATGGGCAGACGTGGAGCGAGGTGAAAACGTTGGCAGAGAACCGAACGCAATAGAGACGTGTGGTTGAAGTCCAATGTTCCCCTACGAACTAAAGGAGACAATAATATACAATCATAAGCAGTTAACTGACTCATACCATCTTTTCCTCCTTCCCATTATTTCAATTTATTGATATAACTGGTTCGAGAGATTATCACCGTTTGAACCTGCTTTCTAGGAATGGATTCCTCATATAACACAGGCTGTATAGCACTCTTAAGGGATGAGGGCTGATGAACTACCCCCCCCCCAACCATCTAGGCTGACGTGGAGTGGGACTCGAACTCAGATCTTCTTCGTTGTAAGTCGAGTATTTCAGCCAATGAGCCACATCATTAAAAAAAGGGGTTGACATCAGTTTTCGGGGGATTTCTGCATATCTGCACACACTCCACTGTATCCTAGTCATGTTAAAAACTTGTAATTACACAGAGTCGTATATATTCAAATTACCTGATCTGTTTCAATTTTTGCCAACAACGCATTCATATTAGTTGCCTCTTGGTGTTCTTGTTGTCTTTGATATTGTTCATGTTGAACAGAATCACTTTTCCCTTGGTTATTTTGTTTCTCTACATCATCTTCTATATGAATAGTTTGTATTTCCTTGTCAACTGATAGCACATTTGTTGACTGGTTGATTGTTTCCGCTTGATTTAAACTTTCCGCTTGTTGTAAAATATTTAAATGTTCAATTTGTTTAGACAGGGCATAATTCATTTCATTGGCTGATTTCAATTCTAATTGATAGGCATCACACTGAGAGAGGACAAAAAACAAAACATAACAAACAGCAAAAGTATTAACGATGTAACGATTTTGAATTACTGGAAAAGATTTTTGTAACTCGAGTCAATGGTTTTTTTTCACTTTTTTAATTGAGAACGTTTGATTATCATCCTAGATAACATATACAGAGTGTAATTCCTCTACCTTGGTGTCCCAAACACTGTAAAACTTGACTGTTACACTTCATGGATAATTTGCGCCTTTCGTTGTCAACATCTAGGAACATATGGCACAACACAGAAGGATTTAGTGTATTGCCAATAACAACGCGAAAGTCTAGATGCACGTTTGTACACTAAGCTATGATTTAGATGAATTTATCCAAGGATATAAATATAAGACATGGGCACAGTGGTAGAATATAACTCCATTATGGATAAAAAATTTTATTTTGATAAATCACACAGTATTATACAGTACTATTTACTGATGACCACGTTTCAAGCACAATGTATTACTGCTCATAATCATATAGTAATAATAACAATAATAATGATTTACTTTATTCCAAAAACAGTACTTGTGATACAGAATGGAATTTTCAGCATTAATCACAATATCTTGCATCTAATTTCCTCAAATTATAACTAAAATTAGTCACACAGAAAAACTTTTCCATATTTACAATAGGGGTAATGTCAAAAAACATGCAGCATATAAAATGGAAATAATAATGATAACAGTTCAGTCGGTCGGTCGGTTTTCGACATAGAACTTTGCACATATATGCGGCAGTTCAAGTCGCCACACTCCATGTAGCACACAAAGAAAGAGAAGAAAGTAGAAGAAATGCATAATAGAGACAGTAAACAGAGGTGTGAGACAAAGGAATAGTAATAACGAAGAACAATATAGTTTCATTGGAGATTGTTAGTCACAAGGACTGAATGCATCAGCCCTAGCCATTGAGAACGATTACTTTGAGCCATATCACCGATTGTCTCCAGCTTGTATTGGTGTTTACCGTCCCGAGTGCCCCAACTAGGAAGCCGGTCTACACCTCCCTACGTGGCTGACTTAAACTAACTCTTGTGAATTTCAATGACTGGTGCCATGTTTTGGTCTGAATAACACTAGCTCTTTTCCAACGTGAGCTGTCCTATGTCGGCTAACATTGCCCGGCGAGGAAGGCGATGGCTAGACATGTATGCGTAACACATGTCCTAACCATCTCAGTCGATGTAATTTCACAGCCTCGTCGATTGATTTCCCCTCCTTACCTAGCACTCGACCGATGCCTAACCTCAATATTGCTCACCTTATTATACCACTTCACGCGGGAGATGGAACGCAGACACCTATGATCGAACACAGCTAATCTTTTCATGTCTTCCGCTCTCAATGGCCAAGTCTCACAGGTAGCCATAAAGGAGGACGGAGCGGACTGTTGAGCAGTACACACGCCCTTTGGTCCATAGTCAGATATCACGTCTACGCCAGAGACGGCCTAAACTGGCATATGCGATATGATAACAGCTAAGGTAATAATAATAATAATACAAGTTAAAATTGCCGTGTGCTTGTTTAACACAGTATTGTGGATCATCATCATCATCAGTCCCTTGACTTTCGTCGTGGGGGTGCTATGACAGTTCGCGCTATCAGTCTTCGCCATTCTTCTCGGTTTAATGCTATTTTCTGTAGCGTATCCAAGGGCATTTCAGTCCACTCTTTTATGTTGTCAAGCCAGCTCTTATTCGGTCGACCTCTCTTTCGTGCTCCTCCTACTGTGCCTTGTAGAATCGTTTTGGACAATGTGTCATGTCTTACCGTGTGGCCGAACCATTGTAGTTTCCGTTTCTTTACGATTGAAAGGAGTGGTTCCTGTTTTCCTGCCAGTCTATGGACCTGGTTGAAGACATATTCATTAGTTTTCTTTTCAAGGTAACTTATTCCTAGGATCCTTCTATAGCTTTTGTTTTCGAAGGCTTGTATTCTTCTTTCTGTCTCTGCATTCAGGGTCCAGCTCTCACATCCATATAGGAATACAGAGAGGACCAGTGACGAGTAGAGTTTCATTTTTGCTGAGACGCTGATGTTGCTCTTCCATATTTTCCCTAACTTGGACATTGTGGATACGGTATAGAAATTCTAGCATGTTTAAAAATATTGAATATAATGTTCTATTTACATGATATGGTGAGGGGAGAAACAAAGATTACAGCAGTCATAGAGATAAGTTGGTGTTTGCAGTTATGAAAGTAAAACAAAGAAGCAACAGGACCATAAATATAATAGAAATCATAAAACTTGAAGGTATATAAAGATGGATAGAGGAAATTGTTTATTTACTAGATGAAAAAAGGTTAGTCAATTTTCGCCTGACGCTATTTTCATCACATAAAATACGTGCCAAGTATGGTATCATAGAATTTTTATACTCAGAAGTGCGAGCATACAGTTTTCTGAAGTTACTTCTTGTTCTACCTGAGGAGATGCAAGGTTAAAGCTGAGGGTAAAGTGAATGCTCCAAGTCAGACAAAATCCCTTTAGCAAATTTATTGCACGAAGTCAAGTGCCTATCGACAACGACGTTAACTATGTGATCCACTGGGACACCACTCACCCTACTGACAGTCTTCAGTATTCTACGAATTGTGACATAGTCCTTTTTAAGCAAACCAGGAAAGAATAAGGGTGAACAATAAAGGAGAATAGATAGGATGCAAGGGTTTATAAACTGTAAGAAGAGGAGTTAAGTTATACCCGAGTGCCTTAACTTCTTAATGTGAAATGTCAGGCGGAATATTTTACTGGAGATCGCTAGGATATGGGGAGACCAGGAGAGATCAGAAGAGAGAATAAGTCCAGGATACTTAATTTCTGATTTAATTCCTATATCATTGTCATCAATCTTACAACTGTCATGAGAATCGACGGCTTCTTTTAACTGTCGTTTACATCTTAAGCTGAAATTAACAGTTTGACATTTAGAAGGATTCAGTTTAAGACCATTAGACTCAGACCATTTACTGACTCCCGACAGGAAGCTATTTATTTTGGTACAATCTAGCTGGGAGTTAACAGCCATTGAAACTGTTAAATCATCAGAGTACTTCACAAAGTTAATTTCATCAGAGTGAGGCAAGTCATATTAAGGCATTATTCACACAACTTTCTTGCTTCGTTTATATACATGAGTAAAAATTGATGATTAGACATTTGAATAAAATAAGATAATGTACATTCAGAAAAATAATATGAGTGTTATCAATCAAATGCAATAAGATGGGAAATAAGATGTTTTTATAGTCAAAATAAGTAAATTGTTCGAATGTTATAATGTGAATTGAATTGAAATACATTTTAACATTATTTATTATCCTACTCTGATTTGACTGGTGGTAATAACATCTTCCATATCTATGGTATTTGCGTTGAGCCATTTCTGTTGTATATGTTGGCTGTAGTAGACTCGATGAACCAGGTTGGAATCAGTAATCAATCTCTGCCTCTCTATCTCCACCTACCTATATTAACTTTTAAGAATTTTAACTCTGTGCCACTCACCCTATTGCGTGGTTGTGTGTTAATGCATGTATGCATGCAGTGCAATCGATGAGCTTTTTTTTCTAAATTACTCATCTGTCTTCGTGGGTGAGATCAATCATGTCTAACTTTAGCACACCATTTAATGCAAAAATTAAAGGGTAAAACCAACTACATAGAATGTATCATTTTGGGGGAATAAGAGGAGTATAGTCAAACATCATGTTCTTCTTCACAAGTGAAGATGAGCGATGGATGTGCATTCACTAAATTACATCAACATTCTTGTCATTTTTGTCAGCTAGCTTCGTCATCAAGAACGATAAACATATCGTCAACACATAACGAAAATAAGAATCCATTTTATCTATTACTTGTTTCAATAGACCATATTGAAGCGCCTAGCAAGAAAAAAATCTGACGAAATTGAACCCACTAGAGAAGCAAACATGACAATACCGTCGATTTGTCTGTAACAAAGGTTACTAAATGTGAATTGTACATTTATAGTGCAGCTTGGAAGCAGCTTTTTCAGACTAATAATTGGAATTCCGATATCGAACTGCTATTCTAGTATTTGTTGGCATATGAATTCCACAGTCTCCATAAGTGGTACATTGGTGAACAGTGACGCAACATCCCATACCGAGAGGACACAGCTGAACAACTTCAAAGACTGTTTGCCTCATATAATATTAAAGTCTATGTCAAACCTTCTAATTCTCTAGAGAAGGCGTTGGTGCATGTCAAAGATATAGTTCCCAGAATGTCATAAAGTAATTGTGTCTACAAGAGAAAGTGTTCAGAATGTAAGGCATGCTATATAGGGGAGAGCAGTAGGCAGGAGAAGGTCAGAGTGAATGAACATAGACTATGCACGAAACGTCCACCTAGAAATGAAGTAGAACTAAAAAGTCTAGAAAAAAGATCGGCTATAGCAATGCATGCTATAGACAGCGGACATAAGATTGATTTTGACAACAGCGAATTTCTTGGAAGAGCATTTCATTCGGCACTTAAAGAAAGGTTGACCTCTGAAGCCTTGCACATCTTAACCACATCGAATGCAGTGAATAGGAAAGATGGGATAGACTTATCACCTATATGGCAAACTCTTATGAAGCAAGACAGATGAAATAATCAATCAACACTCTATGAGCCTCCATGATCTTTTAAAACATATAGGAGCATGTTTATCATATATGAATTCATGTATTTTCCATATGACAAATAACATACATACACACACACACATACATACAAAACTAATCTATACAAATTAACTATAGAAGAGTGAACACAACAACAATTTGACATTAGTCATTACAAATATATGTGATGACTGCCTACATATTTCTATTGGTAAAAATGTCCATGGACAAATGACCTTCAAATAAACTGATTTCAATTTATGTAAAACATTTTTGACTGTATATTTTGATGATTAATAAAAATCCGAATAAATCTGCTGAAGAAGCTGTGGCTTACACAGCGAAACGTTCTGAAAAATCTTGTTTCGATTTTCTTAACAAGCTGGGATTAATTTAAATAATTTATAGTGAATCAATCTGACTCGGCGCTCAAATTATTCTAGGAAGTTCGTAACACCTACGGCCTGGAAACCTATAATCTAAGAATAGCATTTGCTTCCCATTTGTATTGATATAATGTATGTTGGAAATGAAATTCAAAGACGTCCCGTAACAGTATATTTTACAACATTTCTTGTGTAACGGTTGGAGGATTTCACCTAGCCACTTTGCCACTCTCCATAGTAGATGGAACCAAGTGACTTGATGTGATTTATGAGCTCGAAAGGTGGTCATCAGTCTACTAATATTACTGTATAACACTGCACTGTGTGTGATTTTATCAAAATAAAATCTTACCTATAATAGAGTTATACTCTACCACCAAAGTGATCAAGTTTTATACTTATATCAATAGCACTTTTCATAATTTCAAGACTTTAGTAGTAGTATGCACATTATACACAGAGAAATTCAATAATCAGTGAGACCATGTTGGGATATTATTATAACTTAGATAAAGCAATAAGAAGACGTAATTTGTCTGAATCGTGTAATGCTGTATTTGTGCAACACATTTCGAACAATCTGATCACACACGGACTTGTAATAGGATTACACATATGATATTAATAAATAGTTAAGAAATGAGAAAATAGACACAGGTCAAGTTAAAGGGACATATTGAAGGTCAAAATAACAATGAAGACCACTAAACCAAATAGTAGAGGTAATGGTACATCTACCCTGGCTGGTATCAAGACAAAATTTTACCAAGGAAGGTTTAATGTGATGACGAATTGTTTTTGAACGCATACAGGTGGTTTAAACTATCTAATTGCTAGGGCTTTCACAAACTTTAGGATACGCCCCAAACACGCTTTATAGATAGGTTTAAAAGATCTGTAAACGTCAATTGTATGTCCTGTCTCTATAATATGTTTCGCAATAGAATAGCTAGGTCTCCTGTTCTCACCATTAATGTGTTCTGAAGATTCTATTTGTCTCTGGAGCCATTTAGGAATATGCTCTGAAGGCAGCCCTTACCTGCAGAGATCGATGAGTCCTCCCTGTGTATGTGTGTCCATACGTAGATTCAAGTTGATAAATACAGTGGGATGTGACGTCATTTTTTGCATGTCCGAAGGGCTTAGATAGATACACTGGCTTTACATTCTCAATTATAATGATATATTATTCCCTATGATCAGATATTAGCTGCATAAAAAGTCTTTTTAACACATCTTTTAAACCTATTTATAAAACGTGTTTGGAGTGTATCCTAAAGTTTGTGGAAGCCATAGCAATTAGAAAGTTTAAACCACTTTTATGCGTTCAAAGCAACAATTCGTCATCACACTAAACCACGTTCCTTGGTAAGATTTGTTTTGATAGCAGCCAGGGTAGATGTACTATTACCTCTGTTATATGGTTTAGTGATCTTCATTGTTTTTTTATTTGACCTTCAATATGTCCTTTTAAACTGACGTAAATTTATTTTCTCACGTCTTAATTCTTTATTAATTTCATATGTATATTCCTATGACAAGTCCGTGTGTGATCAGATTGTTCGAAATGTGTTGCGCAAATACAGCATTACACGATTCAGACAAATTACGTCTTCTTATTGCTTTATCTAAATTTATAAAGGGAACTAATTGTTTTAAATATCATTATAACATTCCCAATCTTCTACAGGCAAGGTCGTAAATTTGACATTCTGATACAGAGGAAAAAAGAAATAATGATTGTTTGTTTAAACACTGTCGTCAAGGCATCACATCAGAGAACCAACCATATTGATTAAAACTTAAACTGGAGTAATTCAAATTGAAAACTGTCATTCATTTTGCGCTTTTTTTTATTTAAAGGATTCTTTGACACAAGAAGCAGCAGTTCCAGACGGGGACAAAAACCATAAGCTATTTAAATTTTAATTCGAATTCATATAAAGTTACACAAAAACATGATTTTTCAAGGACGGTTATTTTGTGGTGGGAGCTGTCTGTTAGCCGAATTGATAGACAGTAATTTATGTCAATGTTTACGTCCCCATTATTGGTTATGAGAAAAATAAGAACAAAGACTGACTCAACAACAAACCACAGCAGACTTTGCGTAGGCGGATCCAATTAGCAGATAGACGATCTGACATTCAAGAAACAGCCACAAAGAGATGAAAGATTAACGTTCAGCGAGAAACTACCAATCAGAAGACCGTGTTTGTTTGCTTAAATAATCTATAATAATGTACATGAAAATATATATAAATATGTGTTGATTTCCTAAATAAAAGATCTGCTGTCTGGCCCTTGTCTTCTGTTGTTACAACTTCACATAAGGCAAATTCACACTTTACACAGGTTCAAATGATTATTTCACCAAAAGTCTGTGTGCTTAGGAAACCCAGACACCGTTAAGACGATAACATGTAACCCTACTTGAGGATACTATCTACAGAGATATGGTAATCAAGATACCAAGCATCAAAGCATAAAGCGATATACTACTAGTAAATCGAAGTCAGTAGTTCCAATGCAACAACAGCTCTTGCTCACCACCAGATGGACGTGATCTAGACACCAGATGGCCGGTTCGCTCGTTTCAGGTCGAGCTCATCCACCAGTGTACACGGTTGCTTCAGCGCACAACTTAGACAGCCGAATCAACGTAAATAAATAAATAAATATAAACAAGTCATTCAGTTTCTATTTTAGTAGATTGTCATCGTAAAACCAATTCACAATTATTTTAACACACAAGATGAAAGGTGATTTTTTTATCTTTTTTATCTTTTTGAAATACCTCTAGCTGTCAGTCAGCATTCCAGTTTGTCCAATGCAGAGTTTCAATCCTGCTCTACGCATGAATATCTAATGAAAGTAAGGCACATACACCAACAGAACCGATATGGGAACACCAGTGCTTAAAGTTTCCAAGTTGATAATATTTCTATAGATGACTGGAAGTTTCTCCACAGGCACGACGAATTGACACTAATTAGCGAACTACTGAAAAAACAGAGAGTACTGAACAGTTGTTTCGTCCTAGTTTGGGACTTTTCAACGGTACGCATGCACGACACAACCTAGGAGTCGAACGCATAGTTTACAGGTAACGAAGCGAGCACGTTAACATTCAGTAAACGGTTAGTGAATTCTAGTTTTTGCTAATTATATTTTTTATTCATTCTGCTCTTGTGCCACTGACACAATTTCTGTTAATTCATGAAAATTATCAGAAAAATGATGAAACGAAAAGTCATAAACATGTATTCAATTGTGTGTATGTGCAAAGAGAGAAGACAGGAATACGCTGGACCACTGATGAGTAGTCTCTGGAAGATGTGGATCTCGTGGATGACTTATGTCTAGTGTGACGCTAACTCAAAGACTTGCAGGTGAAAACCAACAAACTAAGTGAAGAAGCGGCAAAGACAGTCAACATAGAGAAGACGGAGGTGATGAAGATAACCAACCAACAACAAAAACAACCAGTACCAATAACTGCCAGATGAGTGAAGATTAGAGAGGTTTCGCGTGCATTTCGGATTGTGAGGGCGATTGTTACTTCCCGGCTGCCCACACCATGGAAGTTGGTTGCGTGACCGCAGAGCCCAGGGGACAACTGCTTGAGGCCGGTCACACGCGGCCTGTTTTTGTTTGTTCTTTTTTATTTGGTGTGTCTCATTAGCATATTTATCACTTCTGCCCTGTGACACACAGCAGGAAGCGCGGTCGTTGTTAATCCGGGCCCCAACCGATCCGGCATGATATTTTGTGATTTTGTTTGAGTCATAGCATTGGATTGGGTAGCTGCTTTTTGTCTTACTGCTATCCAAACAACCTTTCTGGCATGGTAGGACCTCAAGCGACATAAGTCTCAGCCAGTATGGGTTGTTGGGTCATTGCGGTGTTCAAGCCCGACCACCACGTCAAGGTAACAGCTTTCGGTGGGGCAATAACTGCCAACGGAAGAAATATGAAAGAGGTCGTTTCCTTCACTTATCTAGAAAGCATCGTTCTAACTACAGGCGACAGCACGAATGACGATACCCAATCTAGAATCGGAAAGGCAAAACAGACCTTTATCACTTTAAAATTAGTTTGGAAATCTTCTGAATTTAGCATAAGGAATAAAATTCATATTTTCAATGGTCAGTCGGTTCTTCTATATGGGTCAGAAATTAAGCTCATGCGTCACGAAAATCCTCTCCAACAGGCTGTTGTTGTAGGCGTTTATCAACAACTACCTTAGCTGGCTCCATACTGATGATCAAATGGTCAGACAGAGAAAATTAGCATCAAGAAACTCGAGTGGAACCTGAATGAATAACGACAATTTCAGTGTGTGTCCATGGGTCAGCTTAAGACAACCGCAGAGAATAGGACAAAGTGAAGACATACTGTCGACGCCCTCTATATTTCACCACTCGGGGAACCCAAAGGATCAATAATAATTAATCAATCAATCAAGCATTAACTTACCTGTTTGTTTAATTCATCAACTTGTTTTTGATAATTTGTCATTGAATTACTCGATTGTTTACATTCAGATTCTAATTGTTGTAATTGTACGCTTAAATTAGCATTTGTTGTAGTCTATACAAAATGGAAAATGTAAATTGCGTAGGCGTATGAAGCAAGGAGAATAAATCAATACTTATTTATAAATATATATTGATTTTTTTTAAAAAAAGAACAATGTAGATAAATAAATCATATATACGTATATATATTCATTTGTTTGTATGTGTGGTATATAAAATAGGACTCAGTTCACTAGATCAAATTTCTTATTCTGTATGAGGCTATGATCCAACCGCACTTATTATTTATTACGTGTGAGTACTTATGTGATAGCATCGAGTGGCCTAGGTTAAAGGTTGCAGGAAGTTGAGCGCTTTAACTAACGATACAAATCTGTTATTATTATCACCATCAGATTATTCATCCCTTGAGTTCTCCTCGGAGTGGAACGTAGAGCTTCACAACAGGACATTGCCATTTTTCACTCCATGATCTGCGGTTTCCTTTTAGCTAACTGCACGATTCATCCTCCTCACACAATCGCTTCCATTTTGCTTCAAGGAAACACGACCAACTTGTCGTTTCCAATAGGAGCTCCACTAGAGGAGCTGGAGTGTGCATGATGGGACTCATCAACGGTGTCCTATGTTAACTTATCTGAACTATGTAAAAGAGCTGACCTGATATTGGTGATGAAAATCCGGATCTAGTTTTTTTGTGTTGAGTAAAGTAGCATTTTTGACACTGATTGATTTCAGAGTAATAAAGTTTTGTTTTGCTTTTAAGATTTTAACTTTGACATTGATATAAGTATAAAACTTGGGCACTGTGGTAGAGTGTAACTCTATTATGGATAAGATTTTATTTTCATAAATCACACAGTGTTATACAGTAATATTAACTGATGACCACGTTTCGAGCACAAACTATTGTTACTCATAATCATATCAAGTCAACTCACACAACTTTTTCCTTCACTTATATACATGTGTGGAATCGATTAGATATTCCAGATGCCTGGCAGGACAGGTGTTGAATCATTCCTGTTACACGTATCTTCGGTTGATTTGATTAATACAGCTTCCGTCGTCAATCTGTACCCCCATCCTCTTATATAAAATTTGAAGACTATTATCTTGTCTCATCCTCCTCTATGGTTGTGTGTAACTGCATGTAGTACTACAACTACGCTATTTTCTAGATTTCCCATCTTATAATGGTCGACGAATCTCGATTTTGCTATGTTTTTATTCTCTGCTACGCCAGTGGTGCAGAGCTAGAACGCTCGCCAGCCACTCAGGTAGTCCGGGGTTCTATCTCCGGTCGACGCACTCACAAACCTCGCCTAGCTGGCAGTAAGCCAGACAAAGAGGGAACGCTGGGCATAAGACTAGCAACCCCACCCCTGCAAAAAATAAAAACCACTGCTACCGAAACTTCAAAACTCTAGCTTGAAGCCCTATTTTCAGCTGGGAACGCAAAAGGAATAAAATAAATAATAATAATAATTTATGCTCTGCAAGGCTGATTGACCCCCATCCTACTATCTCTAACCTATGTATTTTTACCTGACAACAACCATTGCACAGTATTAGATAAACTAAATTAATTTTTTTGGGTCGCATAATGAATAAACAAACTGATATGCAATTACACACTATAAAAGTGCCCGAATCTTACACATATTTTGATTTGATTTTGAGTCATCTCATCAAGAGTTTGTAATCATTGATTTTTAGTCAATACTGCCCCAACATGGCACAGACTAACGACCAGTGACCTCATGCATCACTACTGACATGTTTTGCTATGACCAGTCTCACACCTCTTCTCCAACCACTTAATCCAACTTCACAATCAACATTACCTGTTGAGATAGGCGTAGTACGGCAGATATCACACTTATAAGAAATGTAGACGTATCATCATCCCAAATGGATTGTAAAAATAGGTAGTCATTTGCCCCCCCCCCCATCAATAGCATTCCTCCTCTTCACCTAACTACTACTATATATGTAGACAATTCACTATCTGCTCCCGTATCCGAATTAAGTTATTATTCTCTGCATATATGCTTGAAGCAGAATAGATCCCTTTGAGTAGAACAAGAGAGAAGCGAGGAGGCATGGCAAGGAAAAATCTAAGTGGCTACTCAAACAAAAGAGATAGGCGTTCTGTCTTCCGTGTTACGGTGAGTAATAGTGAAGTCAGGCCTCCGTCGACTGCTAGGTAAGGAAGGGAAATCAATAGACGAGGTTGTAAAGTTACATCGATTTGGGTGGTTAGGACATGTGCTACGCATGCATGCCCAGCCATCGCCTTCCTCGACCGACGACGGGCAATGTTAGCTGACATAGGACCACTCAGCTTGGAAAAGAGCTAGTGGTGGTCAAACCAAAACATGGCTTCATCAGTAAGTGAAACCAGCAATAGTTAGATTAAGGCAGTCACGTAGGTGGATATAGACTTCCTAGCCGGTTGGGGTCTTCGGGATTGCAGGAACCAATGGCAGCTGGACACAATTGATGATATGGTTCAAAATCATTCTCGTGTGATTCATAATATCCAGAAGAATTCGATTGCTCTTTTCCATAATACTATTCTTTTCACCTCACTCACACTTCTGTTTATTATCTCTCACTTTACTCTTCCCTCTTGCTTTGTGTGCTATTTGAAGGGAGAATGGCAACTCGAACTGTTGCATATCTGTGCAAAGCTCTGCGTTGAAACCAGTCAGTCAAAGAGATATGCCTCAAAATTAACTTCGAATCACAGACGGCAATATTATAGAGCAAAACCAGATTATCGACAATAAAATGAAAGAAAAATAAACATGAGGTGTTTTGATAACATACCATTTGTGCATAGGCATCCTGCAAATCGGTTACTTGTTGTTTTAAAGTTTTATTCTGTTCCATAGCCCGACTTAGAGCACTTCGTTCCGAAGTAGCTGTAGCTAGAACACTGTCACGATCAGATAGTGAAGCTTGTAAACTCTTCACAGTTTCTTGTAGTGAATACAATTGCATAGTTAATCGTTGAATCTATTTATTCACATAGTATCATCAGCGCCAGCGTATACAACAAAGACACAAAATAAAGAAAAAAACGAGAGAATAGTAGAAATTAGATTGAATCACCGAACAAATATTTTTACAATGGTTTATTACATAATGACAAACAGTTTAATTTGATATGGAAATACAGGGGAATGGGGAGGGTGGGAAGTAATCATGTAAGACTTCAAAAAATAGTTAGACAACTTGTCCCATCAATGTGAACATGCATTCTGAGGTGTTAGATAGAAAGCGTCGTGTGTGCTACTCACTAGAATTTGTAAGTAGAATATTGTGTTACATCATCCATAAGAATCTTCAGATTCGTTCACCACTTCTGATTCAATATTAACTATGTCATTACCTTCACAAGTTTGTTCATAATCAGCAGTCAGCTGGGCTACATATTCACTAACTGCAGCTGATAGGCGATTGTAGTAGATAAACATTGAGAAAAACTGGAAAGCTAGGATTCGGACTTGCGAATCTTCGTCTTGGACGGATAACGTGAGTCACAGAAGATTTGTCAGTGTTATCGCCGAAACCAGCAGGTAGCCACCTTCATAAAGCTTCAGGTTCCTTAACTTCTGTAATGTCAGGTTGTCAACTTCTACAAACAACCAGTCAACGACCGTCTCCTAGGACGCCTCCACGTTAGTCTCTAATGAAGTGCCATAGGTAGCTTCCCCTCCCTCGCCCCAACAATTAAATAGGGTCCCCAAAACGACTGGCTCCTGCACGCCGATAGTTCCTACTATAGATCCAAAGTCCGTCAGGAACATCCTCGCATCTTTTTTGCAAAGACTTGCGACCACAGCACCTCATTTACAGTTACCGGCTCCTAATTTAGACCGACACTTGTGATATGAAACAGAACCTTAGTCGATATTTTCCACTGAGCAGAGGAGGTCGCTGGGTGACATCGAGCGCCAGGCCATAGCTCGAGTGGAACCCGAAAGGAAAGCGACGAGTGGGTAAACAATGCTAGGATGACATGGAGATCGTGTGAAGAGGAGTTGAAACAGTATAGACTGACATGGATGCAGATGAAAAGTACAGCAGAAGACAGAAACAAGTGGAGGCGTGCAGTTGAAGCCCTATGTTCCACTAGGAACCCAAGGGAACAATAATAATGACAATATAATAACCAATCATATTTCAGTAAGTCAAGCTTTAGTCCAAAGTAGACACTGCTTGAAATCGATTGCTTTCTGTCATTGTGAACGGCGTAAGTTACAAATAATAGAAATGAAGATCATTGTGAATGGTTCATGTGGCAAATGACGGTGGTACGTTGATGGTACAAATACAAAAACTCTCCATTGAAACTTCAATTTCCAAAAGTTAGGCGTATTCTGTTTCTTTTGTCATCCATCAAATCAGCCAGTGCTTTCTCTTTTGGCGCTTCACAATCATCTTCATTTCTCCTCTTTGCATTCTGATCTAACTCTCTCTGGGATCCGAAATTCTGGCAGAAGACATCATCATCAATATACTACTCACAAAATCTAATCAGTAGCACACATGCTATACACCCATTTCCTTTAATAACCATTGAATTAAAATTATCTTAAAGAACTGAGAAACCATTATCAACGCTGACTTTATTCAAGTATTGGTTTGTAAGGATTTGATTGCTTTCAGGATTTCATCATGAAATGACATTCGTTAGAGAATTGCTGGAAAACCTGAAGGGAGTACTGGATAGCCAACAGTTTCGTCCTAGTTTCGGACTCTTCTGGTTACAAGGAGAGCCAGCTTGTCGAGACCATTAAGCCACTGGGACCCGATCCAATGGCCAGTGTCCATGAATTCCAACTTCTACCAATTCATGATATGGCGTAACTGCTAGCGAGTGTCTTCGGTGGCGAGTAATTGCCCTCACTCACACCCGACCTGACTTTATAACCCAGACATCAATGTTTACATTTTCTATCAAGGAATAACACCACTTAGGAACTTTTAGAGACAATATGAGATAGCGTCACGAAACTATTTAATTAGATTTAAATTTTCCAGTTGATGAATTGGACCGAAGTGCTGCTCGACCTCAGGATAACATGTCAGCTCCTTGTGAAGACTGCTTCAACGATTTCTGATTATTTAACCTGAAACAAACTAGTGGATGGTGATTCACTTAAGGAATGCAGCTACATCCAACTGACAAGTCCTAAATAGGATAAAAAGTGGAACATCCTGGATTCGACTGATAGTCACTATCCACTAATTCACTTCAGAGTCAATAAACGTTCATTCTTTATACATGGATAGAGAAACGGAAATGTTTGAATGGTTAGAAGAAGGATAGTGCGCGGAGTAGCTTAATAATGCCTTTGAATTGTTGAGTCAATCGTCTTTCAGTGGTACTGATTCTGTTTTCTAACATTGACTCGTAGTATGGTTTTTCTTCAGTTTCCAACTAAATAGACTTAATAAAGTAGTAGATAGAACATTTCCTGCAGCTAAACTGGTACTCAACTTCTCAACTAAACCAGTACTCACACAGCAAGTAAAGGATAAATTACCAAAGATGGCCTCATCAATGTGCATCTATGAATTCAACTGCTCACGTGGAGCTAGTTACATTGGCCGTACTCAGAGGGCTTTATCCAAGTGTACGCGTGAACATACACCTGTATGATTGAGTAAAGGAGTAACCAAATGCGTAAATGGTGCAGTCTTAGCCAACTTGGTAGATACTGGACACCCGATAAAACTTGACCAGGCGTTCTCAGTTATTTACCGCGTTCCTAGTAATTTATCTAGAGGAGCTCGACTGCGTCTTCTATCAGTAGCTGAAGCGGTTGCAATTAATACCAGAAGACCATCTCTTTGCATACAGAAGAAGTATGTTCAACCTCTATGTTTACCTTGGCCTACAATAAAGCCAACAAATCCTCCATAAACATTAACACTATAAATTCCTTTCACAATTTTCTTTTCTTTTCTTCTTCTTCTTCTATTCCTCTGTTTCATTGACAATCGTTCATTTTCGACTTTTATGATTTCATGACCTTTCTTATGATTTTATTACCTTAGGTTTAAATAGTGCTTTTCTAACTTGCTATCGTATTTACAAAATCCTGTTCATTCCACTTCATTATATTCATTATTATTATTATTTGACAATCATTCACCAATAGTGCTTGTAATTTTACACCATATCATCGTTATTATTTTACAATCATTCTTATTGTCGTTATTTTCAACCTTGAACTTATGTCTAGACCGCCCCATTCGTTGGTTTATTTTCATATTGTCTCACACACCCTGATTACACTTACTCTCGAAACCTGTATTTCTGTTGACTATATTTATATATATACACACATCATTAAATTAAATTACTTCATCTCATTTTGTTCCATATTCTCATTGACCATGCATATTAAAAAACTATCTGAATATTTATCCATCCCATCTTATATTTGTTCCACAATACACTTTCTAATATGATTCTAATTTGCCTTTACTGGCTATTGTATGCTTAAATTAATGGATTTATAATTGTAGAGCCTGAAGAAGAATTTATTGAAACCACAATTGTTCGCTCTAAATATTTTGTTCTGATTAAATTATGGGAATATTCAATTTAATTAACAGTGATTAAATCAAATCAAATCTAGAAAACTGCATGTATTCATTTAGCCATTCCACTGTACTGCTCTATATATGACAACAGAGAGGAACACGTGAATTTCGCCGAGTGAAACCAGAGGGTGAAGTGGACAAACGCATGATAATATTTGATTAGAATAATAAAAAGCAATGCAAATAATAATACAAATAATAATGTTTTACCTCAGTAGTTGAATTATCCAATTCTTCAGTACGATGTTTCAGCTGATTTTCAAGTGATTCTATACGTTCTATGGATGATTGATCGGATGTTGTTGATGATGCTGATGCTGATGTTGTTGTTATTACCGCCACATCAGACGTTTCATTATTAACAACATTAGGCGATTGAGTTTCAACAACAGCAGGCAGTGAAGTAGTAGGTTGGATTATTTGAACTGAACTTAAACGACAAGCTGACGATAAGGATAAGGATGATGTGTGTAGAGAGGGGAAATAAAAGACGGCAAGGTGAATTATCTCTTATCAATGCATACATTCATTATTATTAATACTATTATTCTGCTAGACTAAGAGATATATGGGAAGTGAATCAGTACACGGGGAAATCCTTAAGTCGAATGAGCATAAATTTCCACTATTGTCTATTGGGGTATTATCTTATTGATTAATTGAAATACTGGAACCATCTGGAAGTCGCCGATGATATAGGTCTGATTTCCCACAAACTGGAAGATATGCAAGCGAAAAGAAACAAGTTGTCAGAAGAAGCATCAAAGATGGGACTTCCTCCGGGTGAACATAAAGAAAACAGAGGTGATGAAGATTCCTGGCCAACACCACCAACAGCAACAGTAACAACAGACAACAATCAGCCAGCATAAATGCGAGGAACCTGAAAGAAACAACCTCCTTTACTTACTTGGGAAGCATCGTTTCAGCCACAGGAAAAACTGACGAGGATATCAAAGCAAGAATTGGAAAAGCAAGACAAGCTTTCACTACTCTCAAGTCTGCATGGAGGTCAACAGCACTCAGTATCAAGAATAAGATCCGGATTTTCAACTCCAGTGTGAAGTCAGTCTGTGCTACTATACGGATGGATCAGAGACTTGGCCAGGGCTTCATAAAGAGCATCTCAAACAAACTACAGACCTTCATTAACAGTTGTCATTGCTCAATACTCAAGATCAGATGGCCAGAAAAGATCAGCAACAGGGATCTTTCGCAATGAGCAAACTAACCCAGCAGGAACCGATTGTGCAACAAAAATGCAGGAAGAAATGGAGGTGGATTGATTAGCCATACTCTGAGAAAACAAACCATCAAGTGAGTGACATCACAAGACAGACCCTCGAGTGGAACCCGAACGGGAAGCGTCGAGTTGGTCGTCCAAGGGTGACTTGGAGGGGGTGATGTGAAGAGGAGATGAAAGCCTGTGGGCAGGTGAAGAACCGAACGCAATGGAGAAGCACGCTGAAGCCCTATGTTCCTCTAGGAATTAAAAGAAACAATAATAATAATGTGGAAGTCGTCTAACTACATCCTATCTATTAGAAGTATTAAATATTTTGTTACTTTACGCAATGGCCAACCACGAAATTAGGTTCAGGATTGGAACACCACCCGACGACGCACTCCTTTACCTCACCGAGCCGATAGCTATCGTGGTAAATAAGGAAGGCTGGGCGTGAGACTAACAACCACGTCCCGTAAAAGCGAAACGCGACTGCTGCTGGAATTTCGAAGCTCTAGCTTGAAGTCCTAAGTTTCATTGGGAACGCAAGGGAAAAAAGTAAGCGAGTTATGCAATGTACAGTTTTCACTATAACGACAACCTGCTGTTCGCCAATATGACATTCACAGAAACTTCCACGCACTACAACAGTTGTGGTGTAGAACTAAGGCTGTTTAACTGAGCACTTCTCGTCGCGTATATTTATGTCCACTTTAGGTTCGACAGTAGGATGCAAATTAAAGCGAAAGATTGTGATAGAATTACTAGTGCGACTACACCACTGGCAGACTGCTTCATGTCGAGAAGGAACACTAGTCAGTTTATTCAAATCACTGAACATTTTGACTCTGACACCAACGTTCACCTTGTAGAAGAAATAAGAATGAGACATGCCTTTCGTTCATATGCTTCTCATCAGGCATAACAACGTCTTCTTCTAAAAATCTGTTACGTCCGATAATTTGACCTAGTAGACTGCAAGCTATAAGAATCTAATGTGCTAAAGTAAACTATCCCAATCGCCAACTACGATGCCATTAACAATACTATCGGTAAGAAGCCAAGACGGACTGCTGAAAGAGACCTTTCACAGTTGAAGGAATTGAGAACGACATGGTATATATATATATATATATATATATATATAATTACTTTGACAAACACTAAATTCACTGATAAGTTTGAAGAGTCGGTGCAAAAATAAAAACATAAAGTTACATTAAGGTTTATGTCAAAAAATAATTAGACAAAATCAAGAGTACATAACATTATACAAGTACACAGATATGCGAATGTTGAACAGAAGATTCCCTCACCGAATAACTAGTTACCGCCTCACAAACTTCACCCAAGACCATTGCAGAATTGTCTAATTCAATTTGGGCTTTCTTATTATTGATCGATTGGACCGAAGTGCTCGGCCTCAGGGAAATGCAACTGACGAGTACCAAGTAGGACGAAATGCGCGCCTTGGATCCCACTACTAGTTACCATCCATCAATTTACAATAATACAATATTATAGGGAATAACATCTGTAATACAACTAAACAATCACTTGAAGTTCCACACATTATGCAACGATGACCTCCTTATGATGACCGGTACAGCTATCTGACCTCCTTAACTTCAGTAGGTCGACGCAGTAGGACGCTTTGACAAGTCAAACACAGCTCTGTAAGCAACGAACATAAAATTATGTGTTTCTCACAACTAACTGTACGAACTACTAGTACGTATTTGCTCACAAAAGTTTACACCGAAATAGTATCTTTGTATCTGTATAGCTAGCTAGCATGAAGTTAACGAGCAGGCTATTTGTTGAAATTGTCCTGAATGTTTATATATTGGACGGAAATACTCGATATGTGTTGACATGACCCAATGGCCTGGTGGATAACGGTTTGATTTTTGAAAGGAAGCGTTCTGCGTCCGAGTCACACTGTGTATGGGGGGGGCAGGCACATCCCTAGGTATTGAGTCCCGAAAATAGTGAAAGTAGCATCCTGGATTACACTGCTAGTCTTCACCAACTATCGTAACATAAATGAATAAGTCTTGGAAGTAATGTAATGAAAAAGACAAGACTGAAGAGTTCCAGATTGAAATTCTCTACCTATCATCATTAACAGGAAAAATTTTACGGAAATCACTTCTTCCACCATTTACCTGACCTCGGGTAGGTATCGTTTCAACTACAGGTGGTGCAGATAAGAATATCAAAGGCAGAATTGGGGAAACAAAACAGACCTTCACAGCTCTAAAATCAGTGTGGAAATCCTGCTGAACTTAGCATAGGGAACAAGATCCATATCTTCAACACCAATGCCACCAAGTTAGTGTTTCTATATGGTTCAGAGACTTGGCATTTCACCAAAAGCATTGCCATAAGATCGTAGACTTCCATCTACAGCTGCCTTCCCTCGATACTAAACATCAGATGGACAGAAAGGGGTCAACAAACTGGAATTCTATCAACAAACAAACCAAAAACCTATTGCCCAACAAATATACCGAAAAAGTGAAGGTGGATATAACACACACTGAAGAGACCGCTGAGTAACACATCATGTGCTATTCAGACCATCGAGTAGAACTTAAATGGGGAACGATGTGTTGACCGTCCTAGTGACATGGAGTAAAATTTTTGATAGAGTCTCATAGTGTAATACAGTAATATTTCCTGAGCAATCGACTGTGCTCGGAACGTTGTCATCCGTAAGTATGACTGCACAACACTGTGAGACTTTATCGGAATAAATGTTACCCACAATGGAATTATACTCTATCAAGGTGCACAAGCACTATTCTTATATCAACAAAGTAATTTAACCACATGCATGTAATTATTTAGGTCTTCTAACCTTAACAATAACCCGAATCTTTCCTGAACCTAAACTTAACGTGAAAATATCCCTAGACTAACCGTAGTCTAACTCGAACCAAACCTACTGTCGCCTTTATTAGGTTAACCTAACCCTAACTTGTTCTTAGCTTAAAGCGTAACTTAATCTTCCTCAAAACTAAGCTGAAACTTGTCAGATATCTCATTTAATAACATATATGCTCATTGAAGTTTTATAACACTTCAGTAGGCGTTTCAGGGTCATTGGTGCGGTCGCACTCCATGTGGTAGTTAGTGGTGCTTAAAGTTTAACTTGGCCCGTTTGAGACTATGGGCAGTGCGTTCGAACCTCGGTGGAAACACCATCACTCACTGGGGAATACAAATACATCAGTGGTGAGAGCTGTCTGCAAGACAAAATTGGTACACAGAAATTTACCTCAATATTCACGTCCCAAATCTTGGTCATGAGAAATAAACAAGAACAAAGACTAGCTCAACAACCAATCACTGCAGACTTAACGTGGGCGGATACGATTCGCAGATATATATCAACGGACTGTCTAAGAAACGGCAACAAAGAAATAACAGAATAACCTTCAGCAGGAAAATACACAATCAAAAGACGTTGCTTCTTTGCTAACAATAACATATAATAATGCACATAGAAATCTATAAATATCTGTTGATTTTCTCAATAAAACATCTATTGCCTGACCGCTGTCTTCTGTCGTTACACATCCAGCTGACATGTTCCGAATAGGACGAAGTGAGCATCCTAGTGGATTCCACTTCTAGTCACTATCAAACCAACTGACTTCAATAATATAATAAATAGACTGTGTAGTCTTAATATTAATCCAAGCAATAAGATAAAGGATTAAAGAACAAAGGAGACATACACATGCATACATGCATACTACTCACTTAGGTCATTGATTTCATCATCTTTTTCACGTAATTTTCTATTGACTGATTCCAATGATAATTCTAATTCTTGTTTTAATTTATTCGTCTCTGATAATTGTGTACGTAAGTCATTCGACTGTTGTTCAACCTATGCATTAAAATAAGTTTTTTGTAAAAAAAAAATAAAATAACAATTAGTAATAAAAGTGTTTTATCAGTTATCAACCGTTTGGACTATATTTCATATATTCACAGTTTAAAAGCAACCTAATATATATCCACCACACTCCATCCCACCCTTAATTGTGCCTAATTATTCATCTATATTACCCCAATTTGACTTTCTTTTTCTGTTATCGCACGCACCATTTCGTTTTTCTCATTCTTTTTGAAGGCTGCACTCTCACTGATTGTTGACTTTAAATTCGCCGGTGAATTCATTGCCTGTCAAGGTCATTTAGAAGATAAACACATTCAGGAAATCGTTGTCAACTGTTTCGAGGTGAGCATAAAAGCTGTTGCGAGGTGTGCTTGCAAACGCTGAATATAACAAATATTCTAGTTATCTAAAAACAGTTTATAAAATCACCTTGAAAACAACCAGATGTAACATTTGATCAAATTGCAGCATTCCTCTAAACAGGTAATATTATTTATTTATTTCAACACAAAACACTTGATATAACATGGCACCAATAATGATAAAAACAACATAGATTAAAAGTAAAAATATGGGTAGACAACGGATAAAGCACTTCATCTGGAAGGAAAACAGTCACACTTAACAAGTTCAAACAGCATTCATCAATTATCGTCGGAAAGGAAGGAAACAAGAAAATTGGAGCACGCTCGCCACTGATTGCGATTCTTCGCCATATCCAATAACGTTTCGAGCTATTTCTCGGATTCAAATCAGGGAGTTTTGACGCACCAACCAATGCTAACCTAGCACAAATGTCCTTCATCCCACGACGCCACGTCATGGACTGACTACCTCTCCGCCTTTTTCATCACGTCCAAGGGCTAGCGAACAGAGACCTGTATGGAAGCCTCTGGGATGACATTCGCAGCACATGTCGAAGCCACCGAAGCCGGTGTTTGTACATGAATACACTCAGTGAATGCTGATCTCCATTGTGTCCAAACACACGCCACCGAACCTCGGAATTACTCACGTGGTGATGACATAGAATACAGACAATTCTACGGAGACAGCGATGATCGAATATGCAGAGTCACCGCATATCCTCAGCTCGGAGAGGCCAGGTTTCACAGGTGTACAGCAAAACAACACGCATCGAAGCATTAGAAACCCGAACTTCAAAAGCCAGGCTGACGTAGCGACGGCGCCAGAGATGGTTGAGGTTGACGTATGCCACCCTAGCTTCCATGAAACGGTTAGAAATCTCATCCATCACCCCTCCGTCAGCAATCACACAACTACCCAGATACACGAACCTATCGACAACTTCAAGCGGTTCACATGCTAGATACAGCCTCCTGCCAATCTTGTAACAGCACTTTGCACTTAGACGGTGCAAAGCACACACCATACTTACAAGCACTAATCGCCAACTGATTAAGTGCGATTTGGGCAGCCTGCATGCTACCGCACAGTAAGACGATATCGTCTGCATACTCGAGGTCGAAAAGTCTCTCTTCAGGGAGCAGATCTACACCACCTTCACGCACATCCTTCAGAGCTGACTCCAGAATGTCATCGATGGCAAAGTTAAAGAGAAATGGGGAAATTGAGCAACCCTGTCTA